CGAAACAGGCATGACAGGACTTGAAAAACAGCTCTCAAAAGTACCTTTTGTACTCATTTTTAATGACAGAAACAATAGTCGTTTTTATTTCATCACACCTTAGGCTACATATACCCGAAGAATGACGGAAATGTCTTCGAGCATTCCGTCCACAACCTCTTTAACAGCTGCCTTTTACTGTTCTTCAATACACGGATATATGGCCAATATCTTTATGCAGAAATAACAAGAGTTGTAACGAGTCACTGATTTTTGTGACTCGAGTCGAGTCAAGTCATTTGCTCGCAGCTACTCAAGTCGAGTCGAGTTATTTTCCTTTAGGGACTCGAGTTGAGTCGAGTCACCAAATATACTGAGTCGGACTCGAGTCGAGTCAATGACTCGAGTCAATGACTCGAGTCATTACAACTCTGAGAAATAAAAATAATGGGAGTAGGCCCAAAAGTAAAAAGTACCCAAAAGTAAAAAGGCCCAAAAGTAAAAAGACAGACTCGTATTTTCAGACTTCAATTCAGAAAAGAGAATTCAATATTTTTTAAAAGCGTCATGTTTATAACAAACATACCTACTCGCGCATCACATGCACTGAAATGCTAAACATTGATGCAAATCTCATGCATAATTTTCCTGGTAGGCCTATAGGCTACATTTGACATGTTCAAAAACAAAGCGAAACGCACGAAAAGCAAAGACCATTTAAAATCCAGCCAAAATGCCAAAACTCACCTACTTTATTTGGATCAACAGTTAGCCACAGTTTCCCACCACAAACGAGATACTTTCGTCAAATGTAAAAAAAGAAAAGGATGGCAAAACTACCATCAATTAACTTGCAAGTTGTAAAGTTCTGTAAGCCTAGGTTTATACGTGTACATGTCAGGCCTCTTCAAGCGATGAATGGTGCAACAACAGCTAATTAATTCACTCCTTTACTCAACACTGGAAAAACCAGTTGCTATTTTTGTCACACAGTACCCTAAAAATAGCAACACTATGATAATGATCTTTACTCAAGTTCAGTATAGGCCTACACACTAACAATGCTGCAAATGATATTGAAATTAAAGTCCACAGGTCAAACAGGCAACCTAACTCTGTCTACAGAAGCACAAAATGGACATTGCACAAATATCACCACTGCATGCTTGTTATAACTCCTTTTGCATGTATAACTGTTAAAAATGCCGACAAATAGGCCTTCAATTTTTATACTTTTAAAGATATGAAAATGGAAAAAGGAGGGTTGAAAATAAGAACTGAAAGTAGGATGTATTAAGGTATCCATGATACAAACATGGGCATCGCGAGGGGGGCAAGGGGGGGCGCTCCCCCCCCCCCCCCCCCCCGAAAAGCAAAAAAAAAAAAAAGAGGCGTGAAGTCATATTGGTGAAAATTTAATTGGTTGGGGGGGGGGGATGTCTCTGCCCCCTTTTAAAACTGATCAATCGAGAATATGTTGAGAAATACAAACATTTTTTGGGAAAAGGTATGTTTTACTCCCCTCTAGAAAAAATCCTGGTAACGCCCATGGATACAAAGCTAAAAATTAGGAAAAATACCCTACGTTTCATTCATGCCTACAATAGGAATGACTGTTACCAGTTGTAGTAGAAAAACTAGCAGATGGTAGAGATAAGGTGGCTTGACTTTTTGTTAAATCTTGGCCACAAGAATAGCCCATTATTTAAAGAACATCAGAGTCCAGCCACAAATGATCGAGGCCCAAGTAGGAAAATTACAATAAAAATAGAAAAGCAACCCTTAGTAAAGCTGGTCGGACTGCCTGTGAAGTTATTCTTTCTGGCATAACATGCTCTCATTGTGGAAAAAAACAATATAAGAAGGCCATTTCCAAATATATGTCAAATGACACATTTCTGGAAATTTCCGCTAGTAGTTGGTTTGTAATTTGGCAAATCTGTGAATATATGCGCACAAGCGTTGACCGGCACACACACGTGCGAGGTTGCTATCATTCATGGGTTATCGTGTGACATCACATAGCTGCAATCAGCTGAATGAGAACTTGGCTCGGATGCTGTTTTTGGGTGCAATTCAAAATATGACCTGGCAGTTTTTGAATTGAAACTGAGATCCTAGACGATTGATTCTTCTGAATACACAGCATTCACAGAGCTAAAACTTCATCAAGTTTGTTGTTAAGCACCCGTCTTTAAATTTTGAGCACTTGTGTTGCTTCGAGCAAAAAAAAAAGGAACAAATGACTGGTTGCAATGGTAAAACTAGCCTCCTGAGATGATCCATGCAGCGTTCTTTATTCCTGAGGTGACACCCAGGGAGATGGAATGATCCATGGATCACCGAGGGAGGCTAGTTTCACTACAAGTTTGAAGCAGTCAATATTTGTTTTATAACGCCTCAGCCACAGATTCTGCTTGTTTTTGAGAGAAAACTTAATAATTTAATCCAAATCTCTTGCAAACGTACATCAATTTCAATATGAACGTAACTGAAAATTTCCTTGCACTTTTCCAAAGTACCCCTTCGTGAAATGTTTGAACCTAACTTTGAAGCGCGTGGGAACAAAACACGCAATACGTAGAACACATGTGCATCTGCACACACTGCTGTTGCTATGTTGGTTGCTACATGCATAGTTCTTTGTCAGCCTTAAATAGTCTTGGGGGGGGGGGCTGTGTGTAACGGCGAAAATAACTTACTAAAAATCCTGCTTCAATTGACGAGGTCGCGATTTACTTTTAGAAACTGGGACAAAGAAGAAAAGGAATCAAGGAAACAAATGAGACTTCTCAAAAATTTAATTTTGTCTCCTAATTTAATAAAATCCTTGACATGCCAAAAAAAATTAAATCCTTCAATAAAACAGACAATTTTTCTCAAATACTTGAAAAGAAATCTCAATCTGGATCAAATAACGTAAAAAAAACAAACTCAAAAAGGAATTTACCAAGGAGTAAAATAAACAATTGGATAACATTTTAGGAGAATAAGAGAAAAAAACTATGGTATGAAAAAATGGATTGATAAAAATAAATTAAACCAAGGGAACCAAAAAAACCCACACAGCACTATTGGAAAATGACTCTAAAAGCACAAAAATCAACTAAAAAACCCAATGAATGGACAAGCAGACAAACCCAAGCAGGGAAATTACTCTCCAGGTAGGAGGAAAATAAAAGACTAAATGTTAACTTGTCTCTCTGCTGGTCTGCTGAACTAAATTACATGTGCACGTGGCAAGACAGTAAAAATAGTGAATGCCAGAGACGTAATCTGTGGGTGAGATGTAAGAAATTTTGTAATTTTGAAACCTTAGGTCCATTAATATTGAGCACCTTCAATCTGTATATAGATTTAAAAACCATGTGTAGACATTATTAGCCTTAATGAGACAAGACGGACACATCAGGTGGGTGCTTTGCGGTCTCGGTAAAATTTGGGTAAATACAAAAGAGTTTACCAAGACTAACTAGGTTAGCGCCCTCGAGTTGGCTCCACCAAACCTCAAAGAATATAGAGTACCGAAGTGTGCCGCGTATTCTGGGTCTCGCGCATAGCTTAAGTGTGTGGAGTCATCAGCGCACAAACCAGCGCGTGAATCAGAACAAATTCAGCTGACGTCAGACTTTGGTACTCTATACTGACCGGCTGATGAAGGTAATAGGTAAACTCCTGAACAAGACCAGGAACTTGCTTGCCAAATGTAATTAAAGGAAGAGTAGATCATTTGCAGCTATCCAAAAAGTAACTGACAAAATTATATTTTATGCATACTTGGTTTAAAGATAGTAATGGCAATAACTCATCATGGGAAAAACCAGTTGCTATTCTAATCTCACTGTACACGACCGGTACGTACATGTACACTTTTATGTACATATCGTTATGTAGGTTATAAGCCAACGTCATGTACACTATTTCAGTACCAACAATACAAAGACTATTGATTCAAGTTTAGAGTTCAATGAGGCAGTCTGTTTGTGTTTACTACGGAAGCACAAAATGGACATTGCATAAATGATTTGTGTGAAAGGGTCAGTTTTGTGATCCAAGGAATTAACAAAACATCCAAAATGTACAAAGCTTTGCATTGAATATTTACATAGTCACATGCCATTGTGTTTCATATGTACTTTTACAAATTGAAGATTGGCGAAATACGCTTCATTAAGATTTAAGACATTTCATATTACCTATTAAGTTATAGACTTTTTTATTATTATAACATTACGTAACATTACAGTGATGATCATATTTTACAACATTGCAGTAGTAAATTCAATTTTGTGAATTGAATGCCAAATTGAAGAAGTTACGATCCCTTCAATCTTATTAGTTTGGAAATAAATACTGTTATAAGGTTCAAGAAACATTCAACCAGGCGCGGTTCTACGGGGGGGCTAGGGGGGGGGCTGTAGCCCCCCCCCCCAATTTTGTCTAGCCCCCCAAAAATAAATTCTGTATAAAAAAAAATTGCATTAGCAAAAAGAAGGATTGTGATGTACAAGCGAACGGTCTCCCCCTAAAGAAGAAATAGCCGTGACAAGGGTGCATTAGTTAATATAGTGTGAATGATTTTAGGATTTTATTGGCGCTCCCCATTTAAAATATGGCATGAGCCCCCCCCCCCCCCCTCCCCCCCCCCCCCCCTATTGATTTTCGGAGGCCTATGTGTCTGAAAAAAAATAACCGGTCAACATTTCAGCACGCCTCCCTGAAAAATTTCTGGATCCACCGTGCTAGCCCCCCCAAAATATTGGTTCTAGAACCGCGCCTGCCTTCAACGCTTTTTCTCTTTCTCCGCTGTTTACAATTGGATTTCTCATTCTGGCTTTATTACTGGCGAGTACACCATAGGCCTACCTCGCATATTTGTGGGGACCAAAAACGCTGTGGGGACAGCAGAAAGTCCCCATAAACTGGGTCCTACTTTAAACAATAACCTACCCCATAACACGGTGTCGGCCTATCCAGGCCAACGCATAATGCTGAAATACATTAAAGGAGATTAACTGATAACACACCAACTTTACCAGTTAATTCAATTTCAAATGGTTTTACAATCTTGGTAAATATTCTAATTTCAGGAATGTAGCAGATGTAAATCACCCGGTTCAATTAGTGTTAGTAATGTTCTGCTGGACCTTGTATGGCAAAGCATTGGATAAAGGTTAGCGCCGGTTCAAGTACTCAGCAGGATCAAGTAGGGGGGCCTACAGCAGTTAGTGTGGAGGGGCCATTATCAGGCAAATCACATCCGCTCAAAGATCTTAACGGAGTGTCGGACCGCGACAACTACGTCGCCAGCGGGGGTGAATGTTATTTCTAATGGATTGTACAGCCCTTTGGCTACTGTTGCTACAAATGTACCATTTGAGTCGTAACGCTGCACTTCAGAGTCTCCCCTTTTGCCAGAATGAACAGCGACATATATGGTCTCATCATCATCACACAGGACACCAGTTGCCTTAGCAGCTTCGCCATTCATTAATGTCTTCACACTGAACATCTCTTTACCTTTAAAGTTAACGCACAACAAACTTTGGCCCTCGAAGTTTGTGAAGACTAAACCACAGCCAAAATTGCTTATTGCCAAGTAATTGCTAACCATGTTATTTGAGATGCTTGCAATCAACGATCCGTCCAGGTTGTGGACACTGATGACCTTTCTCCCCCTGTCAGCGACTGCTACTCGCTGACTGTCAACAGCAATAGCAGTGAGGTTACTCTCTGATAGCCCATCGACATCGTCAGCCAAAGGTGTAAACTCGCGAACAAAGTGGAGCTCGGTGTCAAAAACCTTCACTTTCTTTTTGTCCGTGACAAAAAGCAGATCATCAAGGGTCATGGCAACACCAAAAGGAGCTTCCAACTGATGCTTAAGATCTCCTTTGTCAACTGATGTTTTATATCGACCAGTGGAGCTAAACAACGATAGTCGTTTCAAATTTACGTCAGTTACTACAATGTCCCCGTTTGTGAAACATGCAACATCCCTGACTCCTTGAAATTCCCCGTCACCAGTACCTTCTTTGCCGAACTCTTCCTTTAACTGCCATTTCTCGGTGACACAGACCTCCCCAAGATCTGCATCACTAACAACATCTTGACATCTGACACCGATGAATGCTGGACCATGATTCACCGGCTCACACTTGAGCTCTTTCTGGAATTCCAAGTTATGCATTACCTTCGGCTTGAGCTCCACCAGCTCGAAATCATCAGCTTGACTCATCAGGTCATTTACTGCCGCGATGGTCTGATCTGCATGTTCCATCTGGTCACGGTTGTGCATGAGCGCCTTTTCGTACTCACTGTCTCTCTGCTGACCGATTTCATCGACCTTGTCGGTGAGAAGTTTTGCTTTGTTTCTGATTTTAGTGATCTCTGCCTCCGCTTTTGCATCAATATCACTACGAGCCTGAGCCAGTTTCTTTTGCAATCTTTTTCGTGCAAGTTCGATTGACTTATCAGTAGATTTGAAATGCTGCCTGCACTTCTCAAACTTCAGCAGTATGTTATCAACCTCACTGCGGAAGGACCTGATAGTGTCATCAATCTTTTGTAAATTGTGCTCTGCCGACCGATGATCTAATGTGGCACACATTGAGCAGATTAAGGTGTTGCAGGTGTCACAGTAGAAACACAGAGGATGGTCAGTGTGGATCGTACACATTCGGGTGATGGGTTTGCTATGTTCTGCTGGAGAGATCTTTGATTCCTGCCAATCTCCCAGTGAAATGATTTGATGGTCTTTGGTGGACTTGAACCTCCCATGGGCTTTCCGGCATTCCTGGCAGAGGTTATCACTACAGTCAAGACACCTCCAAGTGGCCTCCTTGCCCTCTCCGCAGTCACATGTGGCGGTAGGTGCCGATGCTTCTCCTAATACCTCCTGCTGTTGTTTGACCTCATCGACAAGAGAACTAAGAAAGAACGACGAAGCTAGACTTTGCAATCCTCCATCAGGAAATTGCATCTCTCTCCTGAAGACTGGACATGTAAGCTTCTCTGCCTCTGGCCACCGTTTGCTCGTCATCTCTTCCAGGCACTTCAGGCAGAAGCTGTGCAGACAGTCCAGCATCTTGGGATCCTTGAAAAGACAGCAACAGAGGGGACATTCCAGATGCCCCTGGCTGATCTTCCACACAGTTTTGGCTGCAGCTTCCGCCATATTTCAAGTGTGACCTAATCAAAACATAACAAACCTCTGTATCTGAAAAAGTTCAAAATTATAACAAACAGGTGATTGCCCCATACAGCTGTGCATCGGAACTGGGTACCCAAGTACCAAACTGTTAATTTCAGGAACCGGTTCCAGATTATGGAATCGAGTACCCGTAACCAACTTTGCAAATTACTTAAATTCTCAGTCTATGAAAAAGAAATGTTTCGAATGTCATTGGGAAAATTTCAAAATGAAAAACAGGATACATGGAAAATCAAATCCAATTTCACATTTCATGATGCTTGCGAAAGTTGCAGTTTTTCCACATATCTAAAGAGCTCACTGTATACACCCTATCTAGCCATATTGCCCCACCAATGTGGTAGTATTATCATGCAGTCCTTTATGAACAATCTGAACAGCAACTTCCCAGTTTTGAATGTTTGGCTTGGGTTTCTTTAATGGTTACCAGTGGGTACCCATATTTTTTTTCCAATGGGTACCCATATTTTTTTCAACTAGGGTACCCAGTTACTGTATTACCCATAAGTGCACACCCCTATGCCCCAACCCATCTCTTTTATGGCACACCAGCCTGGGATACATTTGTGTTTACACTGACTGACTGCATGCTAACTCACTGGGAGTTACAAATAAACAGTGGCCGTTATTTACTGTTCTTCAATACTCGGATATATGGCAGATAACTTTATGCAGAAATAACAAAATGGGAGTAGACCTTTAAAAAAGGACCAATGACATATGTATAGACTCAGATTTCGGGGTTTTTTTTCTTCTAAAAGCATCATGTTTAAAACAAACGTTGGTGGGAAGGAACGCTAAACATTTGTGAGAATCTCATGCATTATTTTCCTGATTGGCCTGTACGCTATACTTAACATGTTCAAAAACTAAGCGAAACGTACGAAAACGAAAGACTCATGTAAAATCCAGTCAAAATGCTGTATGTAATGAACTCACCAACTTCAACTGGATCAACAGTTAGCTGAAGTTTTCCACCACAATTACTTATTCCTCCAAATGTAAAAAAAAAGTGGCAAAACTACCATCAACTTGTAAGTTGTAAGCCTTAGGTCTGTACGTGTACATGACAGGCCTACTTCCTCAAGCAATGAATGGTGTAACAACAGCTTCACTCCTTCACTCAACACAGGAAATCAGTCGCTATTTTTGTCACACAGCACCATAAAAATAGCAACACTATGATAATGATCTTTATTCAAGTTCAATGTAGGCCAACATACGAACACCCAAACAAGCACTGAAAATGCCATTGATGATTGATTCAAGTTCACAGTTCAAACAGGCAACTCTGTCTACGGAAGCACAAAACGGACATTGCACAAATATCACCACTGCATGTGTTTTTATAACTGATGATGCATGTATTGTATACATGTATACCAATAGGATTTTATACTTTGAAAGATATGAAAATGGAAAAAGGAGGGTTAAAAATAAGAACTGAAATTGAGGATGTGTAAAGTATCCACGATATAAAGCTAAAAATCAGGAAATATATACCCTACGTTTCACGCGTGCATAACTATTGGAGCGACTTTAACCGGTTGTAATAGAAAAATAGCACATGGTAGGGGTAAGGTGGCTTGGCTTAAATCCTGGACACAACAGAGATGCCACTTTTCAGGTTTTAACCTGAATTCAGGTTTGTTTCTTTTAATGTGACAAATTGAAAGTGCTGGATTTGGTCTGAAACATCCAGAAAACACACTTGTGAAAGGGGTAAGGGTAGTTTCAGGTTTTTAGTTGCGTTTCAGGCTTTTTATTGATATATTGGTGGCATCTCTGACACAAGAAGAGCCCATTATTTAAAGAACATCAGAGTTTAGCCACAAAATGATCGAGACCTAAGTAGGAACATTACAGCAAAAATAAAAATAGAAAAGCAACCCTTAGTACAGCAGGTCGGACTGCCTGTGAAATTATTCTTTCTGGCATTACATGCTGTCATTGTGAAGAACACAATAAAAGAAGGCCATTTCCGAAGACACGTCAAGTGACACCTTTTTGGAAATTTCCGTTAGTAGTTGGTTCATAATTGGGTGAATCCGTGAATGGGTGTGCACAAGCGTTGACACGACAAACACATGCGCGCATACATATCATTCATTGGTTCAGTGCGTGACATTGGGTACTGTAGCTGCAATCAACTGAATGAGAACGTGTGTCAGATGCTGATTTTGGCACAATTCAAAGTATGACTCGGCAACTTTTGAATTGAAATCAAAACCCTAGAATACTGTTTCCGCTGAATACACAGCATTCACAGAGCTAAATCTTCATCAAGTTGTTACGCAACCGTCTTTAGATATTGAGCACTTTTGTTGCTTCAAACCCAAAAAAATAATGCACAAGTGGTAAATGATCTACCCTTCCTTTAGTTTTCACTGATGCAACTTATCAATTCAATCATATTTCAAAGGAAACAAGAGATAACTGTTTCAATCATTCTCCTTTCTCTTTTTTTTCAGGGCAAAGGTGAAATCCTGACGTACTGGCTTGAGGGACAGGATCCAAGCTACAAGATCGACAGAATCAAACCACCCAAACAAAACTTGTAAACATCTAGCATTATCCCAACATCATCTGCAACGGAAGTTACAAAGTCCACTAAATAGCATTCAGATCAGCAATTATTTGTAAAGAGGCAAAAACCATAACCAGCAATCAATCTGAGCCGGAAATTATACCACAGTGTGTGTAGGTCTATTTGAAAAAGCTAACAACAATTTCAAATTAACACACAGTTTTGTGTTCACCAACAGTTTTGTTGTTCACGAGAACAGCTTTCATTTAGCAACTTTAAGAAAAAAGGTTTAATCGCACTTGTACAATATAACTTTGATCAAGTCACTTATTTTAAGTATTTTGAAGTCGCATTATAATCTATTACCATGTAGAAGTTCTAACAAAAATGACATCAAACAATCTAACAAATGTTTTCATCAGACAAACACACTTTGAGTCGCTACTTTGCTATTCAAACTTCACACAAAAAGACATGTATATAACATCAAATATTACTATGTAATCTGTAATATATCAGTCTAGTTCAAGAATCCAAAGTTGAAAGAAGGAGCAAGGCTTTGATAGATTTGTAACAAAGATGACACTTCAATTGTCATGGTATTGATAAGAACAAAATCAGCATTGTTATTATACAAAAAAAGCGTGACTATGAACGAACTTTAAATTTACCTTTGTGTTAACTAATGCAATATGAGGTATGTAGCTGCAAAACGCAAATAGTAGAATGTGAGGACTCGGGTATTATTTACTTTTATAAATAAAGCTTTAGCAATTTTGGACGCACAGATTTTTATAAATTGGCATAGAAGTAAGATGTGTAACGTGAGAATGTATACAGCAAAAAAAATAAAACCCAATCAGACACTGGTGTAAATGGAGGATTTTCTATTGTTCCTCTTCACTTTTCCTTTGTTTATACCTGAACTTTTTCACAACAGCTCTCATTGGTTTTGTACACATTTTCCAACAAACCGAGGTGTCTTCGATTTGGTTTCTGTCCTCGATGCATCGATGATATTGCGCGTGTTCGTCCTCGATTTGCACCATTAACATGCACAGCATCCTTTTACGAAGCTGTTTTGTTGTTTTGTTTTGGTTTATTCACATTCGGAATTCAAAGTTGCCAGATGGATTCAAATTCGATTTCTATGAAGATCAGCTTTTTAAAAGGATACTTTGACAAAGTTTGCAGGGAAATCAGTTAAAAATGCTTGATTTTCTCCAAAAGTTGATGATTTTTGCCCAAAATCTTTAATATAATTAGTGGGTGTTTGAATGTAAATTGATGCTCCTCTTACCTTTAAAATAATTTCTGCATAGTTTGGAGAAAAGTCATTTTTTGGCCAAATTTCATTTAAAAAAGTGTTGGTTTTTCAAATTTTGGCCAAAAATGAAATTGCTTCAAATTGGCAGGAAAGATGCCTAAAGGACACTAGAATACATTCCAATTCGATTTCTGGACAGATAAGCTTTTAAAAAGGATAATTTGACAAAAGTTTGTGGTAAAATCAGTCAAAAATGTTGTTTTTCTCCAAAACTTGATGATTTTTGCCTGAAAGCTTTAAAATATTGGGTGTTTGAATGATGATTGATGCTCCTCTTACCTTTAAAAGAATTTCTGCATGGTTTGGAGAAAAGTCATTTGACCAAATTTCATTAAAAGGGTAAGGCTATAAACCCCTTCGTTTGTTTTTTCAATTTGGGCCAAAAAAATGAAATTGCTTCAAATTTGCTGAAAAGATGCCGATTAAAGGAACCTAGAACACATTCCCATTCGATTTCTGGACAGATAAGCTTTTAAAAAGAATATTTTGACAAAAGTTGGAGGTGAAATCAGTCAAAAATGTTATTGCTTTTCTTCAAAATCTATGTTTTTTGCCCAAAAGCATTAATACATTGGGTGTTTGAATGTTGATTGATGCTCCTCTTACCTTGAAAAGAATGTCTGCATAGTTTGGAGAAAAGTCCTTTTTTAGGCCAAATTTTATTTAGAAAGTAAGGCTATAAACCCCTTCTGTGGGTTTTTTTTCTTCAATTTTGGCCAAAAAATGAAATTGCTTCAAATTTGCTGGAAAGATGTCTGAAGGACCCTAGAACGCATTCCAATTTGATTTCTAGACAGATAAGCTTTTAAAAAGGATATTAGGGATATTAGGATATTAATAGTCGCCCCTAGACCGGGTACTGATGACGATTCCAGCATGTATACCTATAGAAGCGGGACTCTCTGCATCTGTATCACAAAAATGGTCCTTTTTCCTCTAGTTTCCCAACCCATTATTATTATTATTAATTATTAATGCAGATTTCATTAAACAAACCTCATTGTGTTTAATGGAATCTGGGTTGGGATTTTTTTCGTGATACAGACACAGAGAGTCCCGTTTAGAATCTAGTATCTACAACATAGTTTTAGCTCCAGCTCTATGTCGAATTCCTGATGAGCATTGGAGCTGGAGTTACTCAAGCTAGGGGGTTTCCCAAGCTAGAGTTTCTCAAGCTACACGATCGCCAAAATTAACTTCGAACTCTTGTAGTTCTAAACTACACCAGTATTGCCGTTATTTATTGTACGGTTGTTGTCTTTTGGCCTTGTGGGTTTTTGTTTGTCATAGTTCTCGGCTGGGGTACCTATGAAGACGAGAAGGCCGCTAAGGCATACGAGGCGGTCATGATCTTAACACCTAAGACCCGTCAAGAAGACCTATGTGTACAAGGACTGGGCGTGGGACGTCACGGTTACTAGTGTTCAACTCGCTCCATTCTTCGGAACTGGCAGATACGTAAGTCAAAGAAAATATACAAACTAGCTTGATGAAATTAAATTAAAGGTAATATGCAACATTTGCAAACATTCAAAAACAAAACTGCCAAATTATTATGAAATACCTAACTTGACTGAAAGTGAATAATATTCTCTCAAGCATCCTATGAAACCATTTAGGCGTGATGTCATTTTTAACAAAAGTGGAATTTTTGAATCCATTTCCAAAGATGGTCGGCTTGGGAAAAAAATGACTTTTATTTTTTTAAATACTGCCCCTAATTCACCAAATTTAGTTAGTCCACAAGCCAGCTAGTCTGGTTCCCTGATCTGACAATTTATTTCCTCGACATCTATAAATTGGTCCGTTTCATATAAATAGGGTCAGGCAACCAGACTACAAGAACAGCATTTTTTCTTGTTTTTTTCCCCCAGTATCTACGAAAACAAAAACTTTAAACAGGTCAGTGTAACAATATTTGCTAAAAATACTAACCCCCAAATCCATCCATTTCTGAAAATTACAGCAAAAGCATATATCTAACTTTAATTAATCTCTGTCTGTCTGTCAGTATTTCGATTATCTTCAGAATCAGACACCTTATGAAGTTGAAAATCGCTCGGGACTCCAGAGTGTGCAGTGCCAAGTTTGAATTTGTTTTATGGCTAATTAATTATTCATATACTTATGTACGAATGGCAATTCTACTCTGTGTACATGACGTTTACGGGAAAATTCAGTTTCACTACGCCCTGGAAAATTTTCGCTGCGCGGCAACCTGTGGTCCGATTTTTATGTTTTTCATATCAAAAGATCCTTAAGGCTCGAGGCTAAAAGTCATAACAGGGTCGCGACAAAAATATTTTTCAAGGTTATCGCGGAAAAAGTTGAGGGGGATTCCGCCCCCCCCCCCCCCTCTCCCCGGCCCTTTTAGGGTTAAGTGAAAGCGTGCATGCTCAATATGATGCAACACTGGAAAAAGGAAGGGCACATGCATTGTAGGGCGTTACCATTGTCCAGTATGGGTGAATAGCACTGCATACCATATTTTTCCGTATGTACACGTACGTGGTGGCTGCACAGGCACATTATGTTTTGCAGTCGACTGAGCGACCATTGTAGGCGGTCTACTGAGCAACCTTACTGCAGAGCGATACCATTGTCCAGTAGGGGTGAATATCTGCACTATTTTTGCAGCTTTTTCGAGAACCAATCGCCCAAACAACTTCAAACTTGGCACAAACTTTTACATGAATGTGCGTTCAACCTGTAAAAACAACACTGAATCGCGTGCGTTGTTCGCATGAGCTGCTCTCAAAAACTCTGCAAGCATGCAACCAATACCAGCGGCAAAGCAATTTGCGCTTCCAGAACATGCACATTTTAGACGGGAACTGCACTAGTTTTTTTTTATTATGAAATATAATTTTTGGAGTTTGGGTTCCGCTTTTTGGACTCGCCCTGTATTTGTGTCATGTTTTCAACCTCCGTGCCACCAAAATCTTACCCCCCATGATGAAGTTTGACAAAAAGCTTGGCTGTAGCAGAAATTCAAAATATATGCTGTCGTCACATGCCAGCCCCAGCCTATAGACTTCGTGCACAGGTACCCCTCGACGGTTATAACGGGAAAGTTGGGGAAGACCACTGGGAGGGACATTGTGGAGAGCTGTTGGCCAATCATAGGCGTAGCCAGTGGGGTGGGGGGGGGGGGAGTAAGGGGGATATAAACCCTTCAATATTGTGTAAAGACTGTCCTTTTCCATTCAAATGCCCTTTTTTCACCAGCGCTTATCCCCCCCCCCCCCATATTTGTGAAGAGTGCCCTTTTGTTAACAAGTGCCCGTTTTTTTCTGAACAAGCACCCCCATGCCTCCACCCCCATGTGATTTTACGGAGGCCAAGTGTCCGGAGAAAGAACCTGTCTACATTTCAGCACGGATGTGCAAGTGCCCTTTTCAAGACATTTTTAACCCCCCCCCCCCCAATAAAAGTGACCTTGCTACGCCCCTGCCATGGTAACAGTGTTCAACTCGTGTGCCATGGTACTGGGTTCGAACCCTGACAGGAAACATGGTGCTCGTGTTTTTGGGTAAGACAATTATTGCCTCTCTCCACCCAGGAGTATAAATGGGTACCTGTGAGGGTAGAGACCAGAAGGCGTTGATCTCGAGCTGCTGTAAAAACTGGTCTCATGGCCTGATGAACAGGGGTAATAATTGTGAAGCGCTTTGAGACCTTTGGTATAAAGTGCTAAGCACCGCATTATTATTTTTACATTTGAACGCACTGCAGCTGACGCTCTCGCGAAGAAGCTATGGATTTGTGCAAATCCAGAATAAAATTAATCTTGCGTATTTTGCGCCATATGCACGTGCACCAGACTACGTGCACGTGATGCGTCTCTCCAACTAGGGCTCCCGAAAGTTGTCAAAAACCACCTTCTGTGTTCGTGAACGGAGTCCATAGGTTTATGATCAGGCCTGGCTCAGCATGCACTTAAGGCCTAGTACATGTATGAGAAACATATGAGATTTCTTCAGTCAGATTTGGGGCTTCAATTGTGTGGCAATTTCATTTAAGGTTTCAGCCTAAAAGGTCTAAATTTATTCTTAAACCACCTTTTCATATACGCCTTTTCATCGTCCATTGCGTAAATTTAGTTGCATGTATAGTTTTATAGGTACCGATATACAAACCAAATTGAAAAGCAGCTTAATGTATTCAAATTTATTTAAATTTTTTTCAAATTGTCATCTCAAATTACTGCAAACCAAACCTATCCCTGCATTTTCACCATTAACGTCTTGTTCTCAACTTGCCAGGTCGTTAACTTGTTGAACGCCTTGTACACGCTGTTCGACGCCATCATTTCCAACTATGACGTCTACAAGGTAAACATTCCATATAACCCAGATTGTTTTAAAACCAAACTTGCAACAACATTTAAATCGCAGGACGTTAGAATGTGTTATTAGCTAATAGTTCCAAGTTACATTAAGACTAAAAAAAAAAAAGATGTACTCAACAACCCAGGAAAGAGGAAAGCCAAACATGTTTTCTATTATATCTGAAAGCAAAATTAACCGATAATGAATAACAATGTCTTGTTCAGGTTGAAACCATCGGTGATGCCTACATGTTGGTCTCCGGCCTACCGCTCTGTAATGGCAACCGTCATGCTGGTATGATCGCCTCCGCTGCATGGCATCTGCTGGAGGGCATTAGTAGTTTCATCGTGCCGCACAAACAAGAGGAGAAACTCAAACTCCGAATCGGTATTCACTCAGGTAAGATCATTGTCTTTGCAGGGAGGGGGGGGGGGGGTTGTGACATCCCCACATTCAAATTTCTGTTGGCAAATCCATAATTGTTTTCGGCAAATGTGTAAAAATGAGTGCCTTTTTTATATTATTAACTGTTGTCGGCAAATTTTGAAATCTGAGGACCTTTTTTGGGGGGGGCCTTGTCAAATATTCTGTTGCAAATCTGTCGGCAAATTTTACTTTTTACTTCTCCCTTAAATTTTCTGTCAACAGATTTGTAAATATGAGGACCCTTTTTCTTTTGCTTGTCAGATGTTTTGTATGCAAACTTGTCGGCCAATTTGGTCCGACACTCCCCCATTGAAAATGTTCTAGCGACGCCCCTAATGGCAAGTACATCACAAGTCCAGTCACAAGTACACCACAAGTCCAGTCACAAGTACATCACAAGTCCAGTCACAAGTAAGTCACAAGTACGTCATAAGCCTAGTCACAAGTCCAGTCACAAGTACATCACAAGTCCAGTCGCAAGTACATCACAAGTCCAGTCACAGGTACATCACAAGTCCAGTCACAAGTACATCACAAGTCCAGTCACAAGCACATCACAAGTCCAGTCACAAGTCTAGTCACAAGCTAGTACATTACAAGTCCATTTACAAGTACATCTCAAGTCCAGTCACAAGTACCTCACAAGTCCGGTCATAAGTGAATCACAACTTCAAGCTCTGCTCATGCTATTTGTGCTTGAAAATGTTGTGTATGTATGACAATTTCTTAATTGTTTTGGACTTTTTTCAAGGATCTTATGTGGCGGGTGTAGTTGACCTGACCATGCCTCGGTATTGCCTCTTTGGTGACACGGTCAACACAGCGTCTCGTATGGAGTCTAACGGACGCGGTAAGTAGAATCTCGTCACTCAAGATATCTCAAATAATGCTAATATATAGATTGGAGAAAGTGTTCGCACAAACGTAACTAAGCATGAAGTATGAAGCAGCCTCACCTCATGTTGGAAAATTTCATTCCATTGGCGCTGTAGACCCCATGTATGAGTACCACCCCCCCCCCCCAACCCCGAAATGATTCCGTATATGCCTTTAAGCATTGAAAGATGATTCTACATACTATCTGCTCCGTTTACAATTACCCCCTAACCGGCAAAGAAAGTACATCGACGCCATCTTGCCTGACTGCAGGCCACTGCGTGTACATAGTCCCCAGTGTACTTGCGTCACACACAACGAACGGCGTTCGCGCGTCAAATGTATGTGTCCCACCCATGAGACGTCGTTGCCAGGTAAAAGGGCGCCCTCTTTTCTTAGCGCATGAAGCCCATAGAAACAGAAGTATCCTGTGTTCATTGAAATTGTTGTTTTGCATTATCAAGAACCAAAGCTTGTGCTTGTTGCACACGATCTATCCTACAATAAACAGTAACATAATGCGACAGCGCACTTGCATTGGGCAAAGGGTGTAGGTAGCACCCATAGAGCTATATTAAATTACTAGAATGCTAGCTCATTCCCATTGTGAAGCCATCCAGGCCTAGGGGCACAGACATTTGGAATTCATGTGCTTGTTTGAGGATCATAACAAATCACACGGAATGGATTTAGGATAATGTATACTCTAAATGCAAGGTGCAATTACAACATAAGCAAACAGCATAAGCGTGTTTTCTGTAATTTGATGGTTTCTGTGATTAAGACGCATTTGTGTAAGTTTGCGCAGAGCAAAGTGAAATGCTCAGTTACTGATTGAGTGTTTCGGTTTTGGGTGTATCGGCTTTGATATAGAATACAAATGCAGTTATGCAAATAGCCGTATAAAAGCTGTACACAATTTGGAGTTTTCCATATGTTTGTGCACAAACATGGATGTGCCCAGCAGGCATCACTTTGTACATGGGTTAGCGCTCTAGTAATTAATTACACCTCTATGGTAGCACCCAATTTCAATTAATCATACAAACAATTTCATGAATTTTTGAGCAGAAGCTTTTATTTGATTTTCTTAGCATAACAAATGGATTTTCTTCGCCAATTTTCATTTTGCTTTTTTTAATAATTTATTTTCCCTCACCCCATCAATTTAACAGCGCTCAAGATTCATGTGAGTCCTGAATGCAGACAAGTACTGGAAGAACTTGGAGGATACAATCTAGTAGAGAGAGGACTGGTTGCCATGAAGGTACGGCATTGATTTTGATTGCATAGATCCTTTCTTAGGGTCGTTCGATTAGCTCACCCGGGTCGACTCAAGTTAGCCCCGTGCTGTTCGATTAGCTCTGACGTCATTCTCGGGGCTCACCCAGGTCAGCCACCACAGACCCTGCTCGTGGAGTAGAGTCAGTGGTGGAAATACGTCACACGCATGCGCTTGTTAATTCTAAAAAATGGACTAATATGGCGGCCGGACAGCGGAAAAGATCAAGTGGACCCAAAAATAAATCAACCTTATTTAAAGTCTAAATGTAATTATTTATTGATCTCATTGCGACTTTAGAGGCTATCATTCTAGCCCAGCGTTTTTACTCTTTACGATTGACGGAAAAGCAGTAAAGCTGAAAGCAAATCTGGCATTTTGTCAGTGGCTACGGCTGCAGCTATGGACGTGACGTGAGGCTCTCGATGGCCTGCATTTGAGTGTTTCATTAGCACAGCTCTCTTGGCTAACCCGTCTGCCTTTAGCTGAGTTGATCCGGGTGAGCTACTCGAATGCACCGTATATTTGATTGACCAACAATAATTGTTTAAATCCCCGAACTTAAAAGAAGTATTGACTACTTTGGTGAGTGTGGCAAAACTAGCCTCCTGAGCTGATCCATACAGTGTTTGCTATTCCCAAGGTGACAACCAGGAAAAGGAACGTTCCATGGATCACCGAGGTAGGCTAGTTTTACTACACTACAATAAGTTTAAAGCAGTCAATATTTGTTTTATAATGCCCCACCAACAGATTCTGCTTGTTTTTGAGGGATAGCTTAATAATTTAACGACAATCTCATAAAAACGTTCTTCAAGTTCAATACAAAAGTAATTAACAATTTCCTTGCACTTTTCCAAACTACCCCTTCATGAAATGTTTGAACCTAAGTTTGAAGCGCGTGGGAACAAAACATGCAACACGCAAAACCCATAATATGCGTGTGCATACACTGCTGTTGCTATGTTGGTTGCTAAGAGCATAGAACTTTGTCAGCCTTGAATAGTGTTTTAGTCGTTGTATTGTCTTTTTTGGCTGTGTGCAACAGGAAAAATGGCTCACTAAGAAAAAATCCTGGTTCAAATGATTAGGTCGCGATTTACTTTGATAAACTTGAACAAAGAAGAAAAAGAATCAAGAAAACGAAATAAACTCCTCAAAAATTTAATTTAGTCTCATTAAAAAAAATCCTTCACATGCAAAAAAACCCAACAATTTGAATCCTTATATAAAAAAAGACAATTTTCTCAAATACTTCAAAAGAAAACTCAATCTGGATCAAACGATGAATAAAAACACAAAAAGGAATTTGCCAAAGAGTAATAAATAAACAATAGGATACAATTTTAGGAGAATAAGAGAAAAACTAAGGTTGAGATTGATGACTGAACTTTATGCAGTTTACCGGAACATACACACACACATAAGTGTGTATTTGCCTGCAATTGGGGGACCCCCTATTGTCCCTCTTTTATTTGTACTTCAACTTTTTAGGAAGACCTCCCATATGTTTTCTACGCGAATCCAAATTGGGGAGCTCTCAGGCATTGGGGACCCCGTTGTCTTCTATTGTTCAACGTCCCCTATTGAATGCAGAAACAAACTCGGACGCAAAGAACGAAAAAGCGATCGCAATATCCCCCTGTCTGGCCTGAAAGCTTACATGGTTTAAAGGGAATATACATCATTTGCTTTTGCTGTAATTTTCAGAAATGGATGGAATTGGGGGGTTAGAAATATATAGCAAATATAGTTACACTGACTTTTTTGAGGTTTTGGCTCGAAAATGCTATAAAAACCAAGAAAAACGATCATTTTCCTGTAGTCTGGTTCCCTGACTCAATATAAGAAGAAACAGAGCAGTTTACATATACATTGGGGAATTGTAAGGTCAGGGAACCAGTCTAGCTGGCTCGTACCCGTTCATAGGTTTGCAATCGATTGCAAACAAGTGCAATGGTCAATTGGGGCCAGTATTTGAAAAAAGGCCAGTTGTTTCCAACGCTGATCGGCCGATCAGCGTTGGAAATTGATACAAAAATACCACTTTTCTTGAAAATGACAGTATACCAGGTGCCATGATTTTACAGGATGCTTTACACTGTCGTTCACTAACAGTCCAGCAAGGTATTTCAAAATGATTTGGTAGTTTTATTTTTTGATGTTTGCAAATGTTGTATTTTCCCTTTAAGATAGTATGTCAATAACTCATCATGGGAAAAAACAGTTGCTATTTTAATCTCACTGTACACAACCGGTATGTACATGTACACTGTACATATGTAGGCGCTTAGCAAATATTATATGTACCAACAATACCAATGCTATTGATTCAAGTTTAGAGTTCAACGAGGCAGTCTGTCCTTAGTTAACTACGGAAGCACAAAATGGACATGGCACAAATTATTTGTGTAATAAGCCGTCAGTTTTGTGATCCAAGGAATTAACAAAACATGCAAAATGTACAAAGCTTTGAATTGAATATTTACATAGTTATATGCAATTGTGTTTCATATACAGTGTACTTTTACAAAATGAAGATGGGCAAAATACGCTTCATTAATATTTAAGACATTTCATATTACCTAACATAAAAGTTATGGACTTATATTTATGTTTTTAAACATTACTTTACAGTGATGATCATGTTTAAAGACATTGCAGTAGTAAATTTCAATTCTGTGGTTTGAATGCCGAATTTAAGAAGTTACAACCCTTTAATATTAAAATAGTTTGTCAGTAAAAACGGTTATGCGGTTCAAGAAACATTCAACCCTTTTTCTCTTTCTCCACTGTTTATAATTGGATTTCTCTTCTTGATTTTATTACTGGAAAGTACACCATAGGCCTACTCAGGCCAACGCACATGCCGAAATACATTGAAGGAGATTAACTCAAACACACCAATGTTACCAGTCAATTCAATTTCGAACGGGTTTTACAGTCTGGGTATATATTATAATATCAGGAATGTAGCAGATGCAAGGCAAATCATTGGAAGCAGGTTAGCCCTGGTTGAAGTACAACAGTTAGCTTTTCAGAGGGCCATAATCAAGCAAATCATATTCGCTCAAAGATCTTAACGGAGTGTGCATCAGCGACAACTACATCGCCAGTGGGGGTGAAGGCCATTCCTAACGGATTGTACAACCCTTGAGCTACTGTTGCTACGAATGCACCATTTGAATCGTATCGCTGCACTTCAGTGCCTCCCCTTTTGCCAGAATGAACAGCAGCATAGATGGTCTCGTCATCATCGCACAGGACACCAGTTGGCTTAGCAGCTTTGCCATTCACTAATGTCTTGACATTGAACATCTCTTTACCTTTTAAGTTAACGCACAGCAAACTTTGGCCCTCGTAGTTTGTGAAGACTAAACAGCCCAACTTGCTTATTGCCGAGTAATAGTCAACCATACTATTTGAGATGCTTGCAATCAACGATCCGTCCAGGTTGTGGACACTGATGACCTTTCTCCCCCTGTCAGCAACTGCTACTCGTTGACTGTCAACAGCAACAGCAGTGAGGTTACTCTTTGATCGCCCATCAGCATCGTCAGCTGAAGGTGTAAACTCTCGAATAAAGTGGAGCTCAGTGTCAAAAACCTTCACTT